ACAGGAACTGCATATCACTGTGCAACTTTTCACGCGTGCGTTATTTTAAAAATCATCTCCACTAGGAATTATTCAGATTAACATGAACTTCATAGGCGCAGGTAAAGTTAATATAAAATCCATTCAATATTTATTCTAAAATTGCGACTCTCTTCTGTGGTAAGCTTAAATTTAATTAAATTGTAACGTGAAGAATAAAATTTATTATTATTATACAATAATAAAAATCTCGAATCTCGTTTAACCTTTATTTACAGCCTCCATCATTAATGCTAATAATTTACATGAAAGGCAGTCGAATATAGCGTGGATCGGAATAATGATTCTTGCGAGGCCTTTCCGTGGAACTATAAAAAACGAAACTAACGATGATTTTGCGTCTTTTCGTCTGGTTTCTTCGATTTTTGCAATTCTATAAATACGATTTACTATTTCACTGGTTGACTCTGTGATAATCAAACGGTTGAGTGAAGTTGAAACAAATTCATTTACAGATGGAATAACTAATTGAGGATTATCGGTGGAATTAAATTAGCTGAGTATTATGGACCAGATATTAGCACGATTTCGGGACCTGGAAAGTTCAAGGACACCGTGCTAATTGCGGTTTAACGCGAAAAGAGATAGCCCAGACCCTACGGACGGCTCGTTTGATCCGTTATCAGGAAGATATCAGTGACAAATGAATATAATCTGCATACTGAAACAACAATTTCACATTTTAAGCCTACGTTTGTTGATGGATCGTTACCAAGTATATTCAAATTTTGTTCGTTGTAGAAACGTTAAATATATTGTATTGATGGTGACAAAAATAGTGGTCAACTATTTGATTACATAAACAAGTAATTAATGATTCCGCTAAATAAATGTATTATTATTATTAATAAACCTTTGCTTGTATAACCAAAACATTGAACGCTATTTTCATTAATTATACGTTAAGCATTAGAAACTGGAAGTTCTGTTCTTCTTGACCCTTTCGAATCCGAATTTAGCCAGAATTTTTTTACAGATTTCGCTGGCTGATAATTTGCTCTCAAACAGTCCCGAACAAAATGTAAATATACCGGGAAAGATCATTTCATCCTTTCGTAAATATACATAGGTGCACACATAGCGGGCATGTGTGAATGCATATTGTACATAATAAAATTATTCACATTAAAATGTCACGAATACATACGGCTCACCATCAGCCACGAAAGGATTAATGGGTGATTATGGAGCAATTTCGAGTTCCCCTTTGCTCGCCATCGAAAAATCGATCATTTTATATTCGGTTCGCGATGAATTTAGTTCTCCTCCCATCGCGAAACCAGTCGAACGGCGCCAAACGTTAAATTTATAGTCGATGAGCGATAAATGGCTATCTGCTTTTCACGTTACGTATTATCGTTGACCTCTTCTTTGAGAAACGCGGCAGACGACTCGTGTAGGATGTGCGAAATTTTATGAAAAAAAGCTGGTAAATTTATTGCTGAACTGACACGAAACGTATCAGGTTTTCTCAACAGTTGGGGTAGATGAATTTAAAGAAGAATATAATATTTAATTTAGAATATACTTTTCATAAATTTAACGAGATCAGTGGTCCGTGCAAAAGAATCATATCATCAAATTTCAGAACTTTCCTGGTATAGACCTCTTGAAACATAAAGCAAACCATAGATCAACGCATTCAAACATACCCAAACACGTTTAAACATGCCTAAATGAGTATAGAATATTTTCAATAATTTGATGGCATCAATGCCCCATGCAGAGAAGTTATTGCATCAAATTTTATTAGTTTCCTGATATAAAATTTCTAAAAAATTAAGCAAACCATAGGCCCAACACGTTTAAACACACCCATACATATTCAAACATGCCTTCATTTATATAGAATATTTCGAAAAATTGAATACCATCGAGATCCTACACGATGAGGTCATAATAAATTTGATAATTTCAAGATAAACTCTCACTGAGATATAAAAGACAACAAACGCCAACATACGAGCACAGATATGTACGTACGGATCGTGACAAGCAGTTTTTTCTTCGCATTCGTAACTCGAGGCTCCTCAAGCTGTCAGGAAATAGAAAAGAGAGTTAAATTTTGACGTATGGCAATACCGTATTACACTGAATAACAGCCTTGAAAATAAACCTGAGGAAACGTTCGTACGAAAATAACGCGAACGAAAGCAGACGTAACTCGGTTCATCCCGAACACAGCTTCCTTATTTTTATACCCGCGATACGTCTGACTAAACAGAGTTAATCGATTTGAGTCTAAAATAGATTTTTAACTCCTTACCGATGCGAATTTCGGACGAAATTTTCGCGTGCAGGGAATACTAGACTAGCCCAAGTTTACATGCACAGTATTCATTTACGCACGCTGCATTTAGATTAGCGATTACACACTGTCGTTTTTCCTTCGCAGAAACTTATAAGAATGTATGCATGGAAAGTGAAAAATAAAAAATGTATTCAGTTTAACCTCTGCATAGCGTTTTTTTACCACCAGGATTGAACCAGTTTTCTTTTTATCGAAGGTGTCATGTACTGTGTCATGATTTGCATAAATACGTCCAACTGTACCATTTAATACTGTGCGACTTTGCTAATCATTTATAGGAACAGGAATGATCATGAACAGCTGCAATATGAATTTTTTTCCGTGAAACGTTAACAATCACACGAGAAAAGATGTTATTGGTCCAAAATTGGAAAGAAACAATGGTCCTTTTTTCAGGGAATCCGCTCAAGCTGATGGCAATCACTTGGACAACCCTGATAAATATTTTCCTCCCTAAGCTCATTCTCCCAATTTTCTCAGAAAAGCTGACTTGTTTTTCACCCAGAATTCGCCTTTGTGTCCGTTACAGGAAATGATTAAAAATGAAAATACATAACTCTGTCAGACCAAACACCGATGAACCTGGAGTTTTCTAAACAGAGACAAATTTAAGAGGAAAAATTTGTTCGGCAAGACGTGGATCCTTCGAGTTAAAGAATTTCATTCCCAGAAATTTCCTTATGATCTTCAATATACTCCGTTCGATTAAGTAAAGTAATCTAACATATCTGATACTGCTTTCGTTTATAGTATTTGGTTAATCGTTCAAACACGAGGTCTCGTAATTTTGGGCATTACATAACAAGGTAACGCTTAAATAATTATTCATAAAGTAATTCATACAGACAAGGCAAACACTCGATAAGAATCGATTGTGAATGTACATGACCTATTTCGTTCTTCAGTTAATTATCCCATGTTCAAACTAGACATTAAATTATTTAAAAAATTGTTCATATGTACAAGATGAACGGACAATAAAATTCTAAAAATTATTAGACCATACCATACTCGAGGTAGACATTCAATTATTTAAAGAATTGTTCAATGTACAAGATGAGGGGACAATCAAATTCTAAAAATTATTAGACCATACCATACTCGAAGTAGATATTTAATTATTTCAAAAATTATTCGTACGTGCAAGGTGAATGGACAACAAAGTCCTAAAAAATTATTAAACCATACCATATTCTAACTAGACATTCAATTATTTAAAGAATTACTTATACGTGCAAGGTGAACAAACAACAAAATTCTCAATTTTTCTTTTGATAGCCACTGGACTGCAGTGGTCAGTTCGATAAGCATTAGCCATAAGGAAGCCTGTTATAGAAGCATGAAACTCGTCGCGGGTATCGCGATACACCGTGCGATTGTCAATGTCAATGGTAGAATGAAGATTCGCGATTGTCTGTACCTAACCTCGCGTGCTAAAAATAAACGAAATATGTCTATATATTACATAAGGTCACTGCGCGATAACGGAGCCCCCGTATCTAGCCTTCTTTTCGCACGTTTCCGAACGGACGTTTCTTCGGCGATAGAAAAACACGTCGAAATGACGGTTTCGGGTTTCTAGCTTCGTGCTAGAGCCACTGACAAAGCGATTTTGCCAATTAAAAATAGCGAAACTCAATGTAATAAAATATTACAATATTTGTGAGGGGGTTTAGAGGTCCGCGATTAAAATAAATTAACATTTCTGAAGTTGGTTCGAGAACTTGTCAATAAAATATTTTAATATTTCTGAGAGTTTGAAGGGGACCCAAATTTAAAATACATCATTATTTCTGAAGCTAGTTAGGCAACTTGTCATTAAAATATTAAAATATATTAAGTTTCACAAGTTTTAATTGATGGTTCTAAAGAGAACCAAATTATGGCTATTTAATTATATTTTATGTTAAACCTGTGATCCAATTAAAGATTTAGGAAAAATGAGCTTGTTTAATTGCTAACAATAAGTATGAAATATTTAAACAACAGAAAGTTTACATTCTCTTACAAGCAGTAAATGATTACATTGCTCCCTTAGAAAGTCCATTTGCTCAGGAACGAGATGCTGCCGCATTGTTTTAAAATTCTAGTCTTGTATCAAGGTTGGGCCACATGTTTTCAGTTATTTGGTAAAGTTGCCGACTTTGGAAAGCAACCTGTTACCTGCATTTGGACCGGTTCATTATAGGTAACGGAAACGTAAAGAAAAATAAACATAAATTCTTCTCGTATTTCGTTTTTGTCCAACAAATGAAAATTGCAACTAAAGCTAATGCTTAGTACTCTGATTAAAGCTTTTCACCTTGTTGTAATTTTACCATAACTGAATCGAATCAATAAATCAAATTTAGTGACTTTATTCTTCTTTTTGCATCGAAACTAGAAGTGAATTTATCTTATATTTTTCTTTTATCCACACTCAATCGTATATTATCTTGTATATTTCTACTGGAGTGTTTAGCTCAGGAACACTGAGTTTTCGTCATTCTATCCTCATCCACATCCAAACAATTGATAATTCATTGACATAACTTTGTTACAGAGTTCCTATAATATCTTTCATTCAATTTTGACTCCAATTTTAAGACTTCAATTTTTTCAAGCTCCAAGTTTACCCACTAAAGAATACGGCATGATACCAATTACTCACGTTGTCGGAAGTCGTTGGACCATCCAAGAGGAACTTGTCACGTTGCCGTCGACCAACCAGAGCACATCCTTCTCTTCGACGAGCTCCAATTGTCGAACCTCTTTCCTCTGTCGCGAAACTCTTTCCCGCTCTTCGACGAGATTACATCCCGATAACGTTCGCGATCTTGCGGCCAGGCGACACTTAACGCGCTTATTCAACCGAAATCGAGCGTTCGCGATACGGTAAACGCACACGATGCACTCGAGGGACTGTCACTGGGAAGAATCGATTCCGTGGCGGCGGATCCACTGGTCCACGTGTTTCTCTAACGTGCCACCTGCCGCGGAACAGAGCTGGACGTTACTTTTGCAATAACTATCGCTCCTAATGCATCACAGATGGCGAAAATTATAAAACAAGCGTCAATTGAATTTAATTTTTGTATTACTGGTAATTTGTGTACGTTTGATCCTGTTTGGAGCGTGGATAGGTAATTAAAAAGAGTGAGAGTGAAGTGATGTGATGTGAGAAGATTATGAATTTTTATCTTTTTATACAAGATTATACAAGATTAATGTATATATAAATTTAGTAATTATCTTTCTTTCATGCCTCTTGTATGAATGATCACTGAAAAGGTGTCCTAAATGTTACCCAAAATTACCAAATAATTCCAGGCATATTCTATCAACAAAACTATATCACAAAAAATTGGAAATGGTCACCAAGAATGGAGCACAACAAGCACTCTCCACATATCATTTGATTACACCCATAGTATCACAAGACTTCACCACCCTAATTTAAACAATCCCTCCGTCTATTTTATTTCAATCACACTCGCAATTCCCAGATCCGATCATCGATCTCTACCTTTTTGATCCTCAATAAAAATTGATTCAATCATCTATAAATAATTTAGTAATTCCTACAAGAATCCAAGACTTTACCACCCTAATTTAAACAATCCCTCCCTCTATTTTATTTCAATCACACTCACGAATCCCAAATTCAATCATCGATCTCTACCGTTCCCGATCCTCGATAAAAATTGAATAAAAATAATTTCGTTATTCCTCCAGGGATCCTGATTGCTCCCCTAATCGTGACTACTCAATTATTTCGCCCAATGCTGGCGCAGAATCGAACCTACCTCTTCGGGATCGCGATCGTTATCGCGCGATAGGATCGCGAACTTGTCGCTCTCCACGATCACAACTCTCGACCACGGTGTTTCTCGTACGAGGAACCGCGGTGATCGCGGTTGGGAATCGTGTAGGAAACGACGGTAGGAACGAAACACGAAGCGGCCGGGGTCGTGGACAACGACCGAAAGGGAGAAGCAAAAGAACGACCGAACGGAGCCGCTAGCACGCACCGACTGAGCGCGGACGCGAATGGATCTCTGGTATCGACCACCATCCTAGCACCATCATCCCCACCACGCACGAATTCGGCGTCAGACAACGGGCAAATTTCTTATCTGGACCCAAATTTCAGGTAACGAATTACGAAAAAACGGGGAAACTTAATTTTGGCTCTTCTACATGGGGGCGCGAAATGTGGAGAGGGTAAGTAAATGTTGATGGAAACTTTTGTGGAACATTCGTGGGTGACTACTTTCATTATCTGTGGCATATTTTTGATGATGGAATGTTTTCAGGAATCTTTGGCAATTTTAAGGAATGTCCAGTGCATATTTTCAGTGAACATTGATAGATGTTGATGTAGATACAGTGGATGTAGAATGTATTTGTACACCGATCAATTTCCCAAAAAACTTTTGTGTGGAATTGCAATTCCTTAACTTCCTTTTTTATAATTAATGATATTTTACATATTCTCGGAAATCTCTACGATAGATATAGTCCAAACAACATTTACTAGTTAAAATAATTTGTAAAATTAACAAAAAAATGCGAAAAGTGGGTAAAAGTATAGAAGCAATAAGTATTTGTACGATTCTTACGACGAACCATTTATAGTAAAGTTTGTAACGTAAACACATTAGTTTATTGCTTCGTACGAATTAGAAAACATCAAATTTCCAGTAACGTACTTTTAAAAAAAGACTCTCATAGAAGAATGGAAGAAGATCCCACTTCTTATTAACTTTTAACTAATGATTTAATTAATTTAATGCTTAGAAGAGTTACAATAATTATAAAATCAAAAGGACATCCCACGAAGGAAGTACTATATACTTGTAAATTACTGTAAATTTCTTTTTTTTAATGAAGTTTTAAAAATTAAACAGTTGTGCGAATACTTATTGCTTCAACATTTCTATCGATTAATTGTTTTTTTCTTGTTAATTTCGCAATTTACATAAATAGCTATTTTTTTTTTTGTAATCTATCTATTCTAGAGATTTCCGAGAATATGTAGAATATCATTGTTTATCAAACATAAGTTAATAAGTTGCAATTTTACATAGTTTTTTTGGAAATTGATCCTGTGTACGAATATTTTCTACACCCACTGTATGAGGCACAGAAGAAAAATGATTAGTATTTATATTCCTATTAATTTTATATAACAGAGATTGTTTTGATACGTCAATAAAAGGGAAGATAAATCTTCGATCTCTTTCAAAAATTCATTATCTTCTCACATCATTTTACTCTCACATTTTTCAAATATTTATCCACGTACTATTTACCAGAAAGCATTTTTTTTTTAAATAAATTATAATAAGAAACTCTTCAACCTAAAAGAAAAAACCATCATTATTTATCAAGGAATCTTGCTGAAAATTTAATCACATCTTCAAATGAGAATACAAAACTTAAATATAAAGTTTCGTGAAAATCCATCCAACCATTTAGATAGAATCATACTTATGACCATATGTACTGTCCACACGCGAGAAGAAAGCAACTGGCGCCATTCTTCTCCCGCGCAAATGCTAGAATTTCAATGAAATATTATATTTTAGTATCTTTCTTCTCGATTCTTTGTGGTTATGCTGACATACATTCCCTACTCGTAAAAGTTTATTAAATAGAATTTAACGTTATTCGATAACAAAATTAATCATATAATATGAAACTTAATCATATCTATTGAATAATCAAACTACATTTTTTTAAATATACAAAAGAATATTGTTAAATTGTGGAACAATTAGAGACATGTAAAATGTGACATTTTCGAAAAACATACACCTGCACCTTTTGACATTCTCTGTATTCAGGATGTTATCAATGTTCGGCATAATGAAACGCTTGTTCCTTGTACAGATAAACGTACAGAAATCCGTGTGCATTTTGTCCTCGAACAGGTGTGCATTTAAGGAAATCCTACGAGCACTGTTATAATATTAACAAAGAAGTACATGAGCCATGTTGTTTACTCAGATAATCATTGAGGACAATTTTACGACCTCGTAAAGAGTATGTAGCATGAATGATGTATTACTGTCTTTACAACATTAATAATTAGTTTCTAATACTACGAACATTCGGCACTCTTCATCTTTTCTTACTTTGTAAGTGACAGTATTTAGTTATATGATGAAAAAAATATAAAAATATTTTATTCACATTTGTCTTTTGCAATAGATTAGCCTTTAAAAAATACAGGCCCAATTTTTGTCTGTATTCCTTCCACTGAATTTAAATTTAAAGATCGAACTTACGTTGGTCCATTAATATTATGTTGTGGTGGAAGTAACACCTTTCCACAGGTGTCCCGAAGTAGGGGAGATCAGCATGCCTATATAAGACGCGGTTGAAGGCAGCAACTCTCATTTTTGTTTGCGTTGGAGAAGCGTCCATTCAGTTAAATTCTCAGAGATAGATTGTAATGCAAATTCAATCTCTTCCAAAGCCTCCCACGCGATCAAAAAACGTCCACCTGACATTTAAAAACAACAAACGTTAGTCACTTTTATTTCAATAATCTCAAACTTACAATAAATTTTATCAATTTTCAAGAGTTTATTCGATGAAAGCTCCAAATACTTGGAAAATCCTATCACTGGTAAATAAATAGTATCCGATACGTGGAATTTTTAATTAAAAAAGAAATGCATTAGGAAGCAGCCTTAAATCCTCAATACTAGCGACTTGATACATTTCATGTTTGTGAAATGATAACTGTTTGTCGTGTAAACAAATATTACATCATGTCACGATGTACTTATAAAATGTAAACTTGTGTTTCGAAAAGTTTTCTTTTACATCTGCGTATATACTTGTATCTTTTAACGAAAATGTAAATATTCACAATGTACGGACAAGAATATCCTCGTTTAAAACATTAAAGATAACAACTATATTATACAAAATATAGCATAATACACGATTATCATTTACAACTCAAAAATTAAATTTAACTTACTAAATTTATGACACAACAACAAATTTCCGTAATTACACACAGTTATAAAAGTCACTGAATTTATAACATAATAAACGTATGTAAAAGTTGTGAAAATGTGTAAAATCTTAAAATTTGTAAATTTATAACTAGTATACCACGAATAATTCATTGTATTATATTTAGAAAGGAATACAAAGGACTTCCTATTAATATTAAACAATAGCGCGCAAGCCCCTGTTATCAGTGACGACCTTTACACGAAAGTAAGCTGTACAGCGAGATGCATTTAGCAGGGGCAGTAGACTAATTGTAAGATACAGTATATTTAGTAAATACAAATCTATATTATCAAAGTCATCGTAGGGCAAATCCCTTAGGTCTGTAGTTGATGTATTCAAGATGAAGGGAACGAGTTCCATTCACAGAATTGTACTTTTTTTTTTAATTACTTTCATTCTCAACGCGACAGCGATGTACTTACGCGATGCCAGATGGTAGTCGTACATGCATTGAAAGCACAAAAAACTTTCGGCACCACGAACACATTGATACGTGGTCCAAATGTACCGTTTCTCTCTTGCAGACAAGGAAATCTCCCATGGCAGACTTCCAGACGATATTATTTAATATTATGCTGTATAAACATGCATTAGCTGTTACATATCACTAACATAAATTTTCGCGAATTTTTCGACTTGGTTTGGAGAAGGCACACCTAATAATCATCTCTAACTTCGTGGAATAATGATTTATTTTTTATTATTAGACTGAAGGAAAATATAGTTAGTATACATACTTTAATATAATACATTGTTTAAAATAACAATCGTTACACATTTATTTACAATATATTAACATGTAGTAATAAAGATCGCGGCTCTTGGAATGTATTGGATTCTATGGAACAACGTTCCACTGACAACTTAAATCAGCGTCTTTAATCTGCAACATAAAAAACTGTATTAGTATTAACATGGATATAAAAATATTTAGCTCACCTTTGACGTGAGGTCGTCGACGCATGCTAGTCGTATGCGAGCTGATGTTGCAGGTGAGTCGAATCTGAAATAGCCATTGAGACCATACTCTTGGCGTGCAGATTTGATGGCCTCTCTTATGGCAAAGAAAACAGAGGATGCAAGAAACAGTGGTGGCTCCCCAACAGCCTAAACATATTTTTATCATGATATGGTAAATCACCATTTGATAAATGATCTATGTGTCTGATTATACCAATTGAATTTGTTCATGAAGAGAACTTTATTAAATAAAATTGAATACCTTGGACGAATAAACGGCTCTGGGATTTGAAGCACCCTTCAATAATGTCACATTGAACACCTCTGGAATGTCTGCAAATCCTGGCAATTTATATGCACCTGGTCCTCTACTAAAAACAACTCCATTTCTTAGATACACCATTTCTTCAAGTGTAAATAAACCATATCCCTGGACGAAACCGCCCTCAATTTGGCCTATATCAATCGCGGGATTAAGACTCTGACCTAAATCCATCACAATGTCAGTTTGCACTACCTATATGTACAATATTATCATCAATAAAATTGTAGAAGTTAATATCTTAATGGTATACGTAAAGTTCTTACGCAATGGTCACCAGTCAAACAATCGATTTCGACTTCTGAACACGCAACGCCATATGTGAAGTAATTAAACGGATTTCCAGAATTAGTTTCGAACGAGTATCCTATGTCAGGAGTTTTGTAAAAGCCAGTAGATGAAAGACTGATTCTCTCGTTGTAAGCAGTTGCCACCCACTCTTCCCATGTTCCAGTTGGATTTTTATCCATTACTGGCTTTAGTCGTTTCATAATCTCTTGGCAAGCATTCTGGAATTTTGATTATTCACTCTAATACTTTTAATAATACTCACACGCAACCTGTTTGGTTTACAATCGAGGTTAGTTTACAAAGAAGACATATACTCACCAGAACAGCCATACCATTCAGATCTGAACCAGCACTAGCTGCTGTGGGAGAAGTATTCGGAACTTTGTCTGTGGCAGTCTCCATTATAT